TAAGTTATTTTAAATAAGTAAAGAGATAAGAAGAAAAAGAAAGATCTTTATTTCGTAGCAATGATTTCTATTTCTCTCTCTTTCTCTCACTGTCTCTTTCTTTGTCTCTTTTGTCTTTCCGTTTATCTATATTTTACTATTGAGAACTATCGATCCTTCTTGCAACATTAACTTCCTGACATTCGTGAAATTCTTCTTCGGAAAGATATTTATAACTTGGATGGCTCTTTAAATTTTTTAGTAACTTACTTGAAAAATATAAAAATTATAAAGAACTTATTTAATTTTCAATCATAACACATTCAATCATAACACATATGTATTTTGATACATCAGTTTCAATATATTTATTTGTTTAATTATCTATTTATTTTTTTCTTCTTTTTGTTTACCTACATTATCTTTATACCATATTATCTCTCTTTATTAACATCACTTTTCTTTCTTTCGTACTAATCTTAATTTCTCTTTTTTCATCCTCATTTACTTTACTTTACTGCATTTTTTCGTACGCACATTCATAACATTACAACCCGACGTATAAAATTTCTCTTATTGTATATTATTCCTAAATTTATACTTAGTGCATCCTTGTCTGTATTATTTATCATCTCTCATTCATCTTTGTATTTTATTCACACTCATTATTATACATTATATTAGCAAACACACACGCATACATTCACATACGTACGTATATACATATATGTACGACAAAATAAATGTTCTATTTCTATTATATCTATTTCGTAGATATATATATGTGTGTGTGTGTGTGTGTGTGTGTGTGTGTGTGTGTGAAAAATAAAAAATATAAAAAGAGAAAAAAAGAGAAAATGCACAGCATATTTCTCCTTTTACTTGGTCGTATAAGAAAGAATGTAAAGCTTCTTCTATTTTATGCAAGTGCAAAGCTTCCTTCTTCTTTTTCTTTTTCTTCTTCCTCTTCTTACTCGGCCATTCTCTTTATAGAAAATATCAAAATGGTGAAACTCGTGGAAATAAGTAGAATGAAGGAAATAAAGGAAGAAAGAAAGAAGGAAGGAAAGAAGTAAAAAGGGAGACTCTCGATGGTCTCGCGCATACGACTCGATAGCTCGAGCTTCAGCTTTATACGAATTCACTGACGATGGATGGAAAAGGATCACGTCCTCGATTTCGTTTAACCCCCTGGAGCAATGCTCTAAGGGATGATATCGTCGCAGTTCACTTGCTCTTTTCGTTTTTTTTTTTTTTTTTTTCCCTATAATACGTATTACGCTTTTATTTATTATCTGACAAAACAAAAAAATATTATTGAAGTAAATAATTGAGAGGATATTTTAACTGGATTGAGATATTTTTCCTTCTCTCTTTTTTCTTTTTTCTTTTTCTTTTCTTTTTTTTTAATTTTCTTCTATTATTACTTACAACATACGTAATTTAATATTAATAAATAATAATATATTGAAGTAATTGAAATTCATTATATCTATATAAGTTTATTTCTCTCTGTCTCTCTTTCTCTCCAGGTATATAATTCGTTTAGCAATTATTTTTATCATAATTCCATTAATGTATAAGTTGAAAGTAATAAAGCGTAATTAAGATAGACAAGTTTTATGAAAGAGTTACAAGATATTTTTGTCGAGTTGAGTGGAGATCGATAAGGTACAATTTTTGACTTCGAGGTCGTAAGGTTAAAACGAGAAGACAGATAAGTAGAGAGGCAGAAAGAGAGAGAGAGAGAGAGAGAGGCAGAGAAATAGAGAGATAGAGGGAAATTCTCACATCTATTCTTTACACGCAAAGATATACGCGCTCTGGCATATACGCACACGCAAACGCACAGACAGACACATATATACGCACGAGAATGCTAACTTGTACTCATGGTGCATTTCGACGTTCCTGAAATTCCACGCAATTTCCTTGGAAATAAAGCGTGAGGGGTTGAAATGTGCGCACGTGTCGAGATATCGACGCTCCTCTTACCAAGTAGAAGATGAAAGAGGTGAAAGAGGAGGAAGAGAACTAGGAAGAAGAAGGAGGATGCACTTGGATGCATATATCCTCGCAAAATGCAGTCATTCTCGCGAGCTAACGTCGAGTCTGACGTTATTTCTACTATTTCTGACTTGCTATTGGTGCTGTTGCTGGTAGTGGTACTGCTGCCATAGCTCGAGGCGGGAAGAATAAAAATATTTTCACGAAGTAATTCTTGTCGCACGCAACCCGCACACTTATACATTCACACGACGAACCTCTGGAAAATTTTCTCTGCGTTTCGTCTATATCAAGATTTTAAATCCCTTAGGGAAGGAGGAGAAAGGGACAAAAATAAAAGGGCGAATAATTAAAGGGGGAATTTTTCTTTCTCGAGTAATCCAACCTCTATTCTTTTTTTCCTTATTCTTATTCTTATTCTTTCTCTTGTTTTTTTTTTTTTTATTATTTACTTTTTCGATTTCGTACACACATATATATATATATATATATATATATACACATACACGTAAATTTATTCGTTCATTGATTGATTGATTGATTGATTCATTGATTGATTGATTGATTGGTTGATTCATTCATTCATTCATTCATTCATTCATTCATTCATTCATTCATTCATTATAATGCATTTTTATCAAATTACAATATAAATGGATATTTATAAAATATAATATCAATTCCTAATTTGCATGTCCTCTTAAAATCGATTGGAATTTAAATCGAGTAGTTGTCGCGATATTACTCGAGTACTCGATTCGAAAGTATCGAAGAATTCGCGGCCCGTGTTGTTCGATATCGATGATAGTCGGAATTGTGTAATCGGCGTCGATTCGATATGCTTCTCGAAAAAAGAGAGAAAGAGAGAGAGAGAGAGAAAGAAATAGAGGCAAGCATTGTTACGGACGCACGTATTCGTCGCTTCGAAAAATAGCAGGAAATATAATCGAAGGTAGCGTTTATCTCGAAGCAGTATCGAGTTCGCGCTCTGCCCCAACAATTTTCATCGTCCGTCGCATTTCGTGGTAACACATCGATCTCTCCTCCTCTCTCTCTTTCTCTCTTTCCACCCTTGTACTTCGATAGATATCGACTCGAACTATTGTGAACTCGTTACGCGCCATTCGAAGCCTTTTTTTCCACGTTTATTCTCTCATATTCATTACTTTTTTTTTCTCCTTTTTTTTTCCTTTTTTTTCCTTCTTGTTTTTCCTCTTTTCTTTTCCTTTCTTTTTCTCTCTTTTTGTGTTTTTTTTTCTTTTTTTTTTTTTTTTTTTTCCCCCCATTGCAACTTTCAAATATAGATACACGTACACGTACGCAAGTACTTATCTCCTACTTGTTGACTCTGCCACGTTTATTGTTTATTCGAATTTCCCGCGTATCAAGTAGACTTTATTTTTTTTTTCTTTTTTGTATGTGTATGAAATATCGCGTAAAAAAATTATTCCTCAAATTATTACCATTTTTAATATAATCATATAATCTGTATGTTCTTTTAAACGATATTATTATCAAGTAGTTTACATGAAATATAATTTACTTATACTTACGATAATACCCATTCTAATTAATGAATATCCTTTCGTCGTTCTTCCTGATAACTTCGTCATTACGTCGTTCACTTAATTAGTCTCACGTCGGTATAATATTACTTTCCAATATATATATATATATATATATATATATATATATATATATATATATATGCGTGCGTGTGTGTGTGTGTTCATTGAACACATTTACATAGAAGACAATACATAGAAAGCGTTAAATCTCGCGAGCAAGTAAAAGCGAGCTCTCTCGCACTCCGCTTACACGCAATCCGCTTAATTACACGTTCGTCTCTTTTACGTTACTATTTTCAATACTACCGTGAAAAGATACAATGCCAGTAGACATAAAATAGGAGAGGAAAAGAAACACGACGTCGATGAGAGAGAGAGAGAGAGAGAGAGAGAGAGTGAGAGAGAGGGAGACAGGAGTGGGAGAAAACTCGTAGTTGAAATTTACACAGCACTTTTCAGGATTTTATCGACCGACTCTGTGCATTTTTTTTTTTTTTTTGTCTTTTTTTCTCTGAGGCTTAACAACACACAAAGACTGCTGAAGCTAATCACTCGAAGCCAAGCTTAACGGCTTCATTTTCCTTCATAGACATTTTAAAAATAAATAGAAAAAAAATCGTTTGAAAATTGACGATATTATTGGAATACAAGTAATAAAAATAAAATATATAAGCTGTACGCGTACACGAGATCAATCGCGGTCCTCTGGATTGGGTCGGCAATATTCTTCATTTCTTTCTTTCTCTTTTTTCTTTTTTTTTTTTCTTTTTTTTTCTTTTTTTTTTTTTTGTCCTTTAATTTCGAGATAAATATCGTAGTATATGGAGGATGGCATTCTTTCCTTTTTTTTTTTTTTTATTTGTAAAAAAATCATCGATCCCATTTGAAAGAATCTCACGGTCAAGCTGCATTTTGCCGAGTCGCAAACGTCGGCAAGCGAGTGGAGTGGATTTTTCGTTAAAATAAAATTTGCATATTGATGAAATACAGAGGACATACGATGAAAGAGAGAGGTACCGTGTGAAATGGAGATGCCGAGAGAAAGAAAGAGAGAGAGATAGAGAGAGAGAGAGAGAGAGAGCCATCGATCTCGATGAAAAATAAAAAAGAAAAAAAGAGCAGGTAGCTATAAGAAAAAGGTAAAAGAGAATAAGAGAAAAGGGGAGGAGAAGGAAGAGAGACATAAAAAAAAATAAAAAAGAGAAAGATTGAGAGAAAGAAAGAATGAACGAATGACAATTTGTCATTGCGTTATTATTCAGAAAGAAAAAATAATAGTAATAATAATAATAATAATAATAATAATAATAATAATAATAATAATAATAATAATAATAATAATAATAATAATAATAATAATAGTGATAATAAAAAAAAACTGATATAAAATCAAAGCTATTTCTGAATTCTGTTGTAATCGAATTGGTTTAATTTTTTTGCTTTCAGGTGGCAAATACCATATGTTACCAACTGGCGAACTTCTGGTCTTCTCTGTGACTTCCACCGATGCTCATGCAAGTTACCGATGTCGTACCGTCCATCACGTGACCGGCGACACCGTCGAAAGTTCGTCGTATGCACGACTGGTGGTCACCGGTAAGTTTCATGGAATTCCATATTCACCTGTCGTAGTATGTATAACCAGTCTTCCCTTTTCTCCCATCCGTCGTAACCACCTTCGAAGGCAGTCCTTAAACAGGCACGTACGGTTACGCCGTCAACCCTGCTTTTTCGCTTAAAGGGACTTTCGAGGACCTGCATATTTAATGCCCGCAGACTAAATGTGCGATCTCAGCAAAATGTTGCCTCTCGTTATGCGACAAAAAGGGACTCTTCTTCTGAATTGACACGACGTTTCTCACCTGTCCTATAAGTCTTACACGTATATCCTACATACGTGTATATGTGTGTCTGTGTACGTATATATATATGTATATTTTTTTTTCTTTTTTTTTTTTCATTGTTTTGTTTATTGTTTTACATTTTAATCTCGCTTTTTTTTTTTACACGCGTGCGATCACATAGCGACATAGGATCGAATTATTGAAGTACTTTTTTTTGTTTATTCTTTTTTTTTTTTTTTTTTTTTTACTTTTAAAATTAATTATAATAAAGAAAAATAAATCGATCGTACGGATAATACCTTCCTCTAGATCGTATATAAATATCCGACGAACTTTGATCGACAAGGTATATATTCATCTGGGACTTCGCTGACGTCTTGAAAATTTTACATAATCCAAAATTGGCTCCTGACTTCCTCTATTTGACTTCAGCATGAAGGGAAATTCTGTTCACGGCTTAATGATGATTAACTCTCTTGCTTTCCTCTTACTTACACACATACATGTGTGTATGTGTCTATTATATACATGTATATATGTACGTATGTATGCGCGCACATATGTATCCCTGTATACTTTCGAATTTTTTATTTTCGAAATTTCTCCGATGAAAATTTAAGAAAATTTTAATTTCTTCAAAAAGATTAATATTTCCTAATGAAAAGTACAAAAAAAAAAAGAAAGAAAAAATCACGGATTAAAATTTTTATCTTCATTAACGATTGTTTACCTGCTAATCTAATTATAACCATTTCCCTTTTTATTTCATTAATCGTCCACGAGTGGATTGAACTCGGCTAATTAAACTAATTTAATATTAAATTAGTTATACGAAATATATCTCGAGAATATCCATTCTCGTTTCGACGTATATACATACATACATACATACATACATACATACATACATACATACATACGTCTATTTAAGCGTTCACGTATATATAACAATTTCTCACGCATACTATACCTTTTACCATGGTAAATCATAATGCATTGTTACACGTTCTCCCACCCTTCACCTTTCCTGGCACCCTTTATATATATATATATATATATATATATATCTTTCTCTCTCTCTCTCTCACTCTTTCGCGTGAACGCTATACCCTCATCCCTCTCGCAATCCACGCAACTTGCCTTCTTCATGAATAAATCATGAGCGGTCCGAAATGCTAATGGCCGAAACGTCCGCGTTCTGCTTCGTCGACTCGTCCTCCCTCCCTCCCGCCCTCGCCCTCGCCCTCGCCCTCGTCCCCGTCCCCCGTCCCGTAGTACAGCCTCGACGAAATACTATCTACGACTCGTAAACAATATACGTGATACGCGTATCCTCGAAAATATGCTTCTCCTGGCTTACCTAGAAACCAAACGGAAGCTTCGCTACGTCGCGTACCATCCGGTCTCGTACGCTCTCTCTCTCTCTCTCTCTCTCTCTCGCTCTCTCTCTCTCTCTCTCGCTCTCTCTCTCTCTCTCTTTTTTTTGTATTCGCAATTGGAATTCGCTTGTTTATTGAAAATTCCACGTGCAATATTCTACTACAACCGATGATACGATATATTTTATTTGGTGTTTTGGAAACGATATTCGGCGTAATATTTATTTACAAACGAATGCCTATAATTATTATCAAATTGACACCACCTTGGCACCTTTCGAAGCGTGCCAAAAAAAAAAAAAAAGAAAAAATGGAAAAAAATTGGAAAAAAAGAAGAGGACGAGAAAAGAAAAAAAAGGGTTGTGCGAAAAAAGGATTTCGTTTGTGCGCGTTGTCGTTTTATTTTATTATGGAAAAAAAAAAAAAAAGAAAAAAGAACGTGAGGAAGAAAGAAATAAAAAAAAAAGAAAACGAGATAAAAAATTTCGCTTTATTTAATCCCATTCTATGTTTGATTTGAAAAGGGAAAATGAATATTTCATACAGATTCAAATGGTATGGCGCGTGTGAAGTGCCATTAGATATATCGTAATAATTGTCTCTGGAAATGTCGAGTATCTTCCTAATCAAGCTGCGTTTGATGATCTTATCGCGAAGAAGTACGAGAACGATGCAGAGACTTCAAGGCTCCGTCGTTGAGGCACTTCGATTCTATGTACCATAGCATAGATGCTGATTGATAAGGCATGAAATGGGTCGAACGTAGATGAGTGTGTTTGGAACAATAGATGGCTAATGATGAAAGTGCAAGCCAAGATGTTGCCATATTGGAATGGTGTATATATATGTGTGTGTGTGTGTGTTCGTATATATGTGTGTGCTGCTCTTCGTGCTATTACTCTGAAACGCAACAAAGATGAAATACCAAACGCGCCAGATGAACATATTGTACTATGTTCGTGCATATCATCCAAGCCTCCTATAAACAGAACCAAAGAGCTCCTGCGTCAATTAATCATGCCATCCTACCTAACGTTACAACACGTTCGAACCATAATTATACGAAATAAAAGAGCAATGACGTTGTTGTTGTTGTTGTAAAATACGAGCGTAGAGAGAAAGAGAGAGAGAGAAAGTGTGGGACTCTCTTTAAAAATGAACTCCGTCGACGTATTAATCACTCATTTTGATTTTATCACCTCATTAACGTTCACGAAACTTTATCATAAATTCATTTATTTCATCTCTCTACTATACGAATAATAATATATCCGGTGATTACCGAAAGTATGTAATAATCATATAATAATAATTATTACGTACTTTTTTAATCCTTAAAAAATTTTTGAGACCATTTTTTTTCTAAACCCCTCTTACAACCCCATTCTTACGTACTACGTATATCCGGTGAATAGGATGATTTGCGTAAGGGGGAAGAATTCGCGAAAAAAAAAAACAAAAAAAAAAGAAGTTTTTCATTGATACAACAGGAAGTTAGATCATTGAAGACGTATAAAGTATCAGATATATTCAGGGGTCTAAAAAAATTTCTATAAAAATAATTACATAATTAAGATCTTAAATAATTATAGATTCTAATGACAGATCTAGATCTAGATGGAAAGAAGTCTTTGAAATTGTGGATTTTGTTTCGAGGATTAATCATTTTTCAGGGGTTTACGATTAAACGTCATTAGATATTGATAACGTTGTTAGAAAAAAAAAAATGATAGTTTTTTTTTGCATGGCGTAAAGGAGTCATTTTAGTGGCAGCAATCGGATACATCCACTGTCTTCTTCTGTTTCCTTCTTCGCCATTATCCGCTCCTGCATTTTTTGCAACTTTTCTCTTCGACTCTCCTCTCCCTCCCCTTCTCCTCCTCCCTCTCTCTCCATCTCTCTCTCTCTCTCTCTCCTTCTTTCTCTATCCCTTTCAATGAACGCGTCAGAGTTATAACACTTTACTACGGCGCCATTTTAGGGAAGCACTGCCTTTTAGGCCTGATGTCCATTAAAGAGCTTGCCTGTACGAACTGCAAACCGTTTAAAACTCGAATTCCTTAAGCCACGTATAGCACTAATGGACCATAGTATAGTACTCACTCCTCCTACTTCTACTACTACTACTATTCACTACTACTATTACTCCTATTACCACCCTCTGACTCCTCTGGTCCTCCCTCAATCCTCCTGCACCTCCTCCTCCTCATTTTCGTTCTCCTCTTTTTCTTCTTGCACAGTATCTATCGTCGCACGTGTCCGTCCCCTTAATCGTCCTTCTTCTCTTTCAATGTTTAGAGATCCCCTCCCCCGCCTCCTCCTCCGACTATCCTACTTTCCTATCTAAACGGAACTAACACCGCGTAGATACAAACTTACTTACATTTAAACTCGAGAGTGTGGAACACGCTTTCCTAGTGGGAAATCCGAGAACGTGTTTACCCATCGATTTATCCGTAAAACGTTTTTCCTAAACGAAATCCTATAGTCTTTGAAAGACCCACAAACTCACATAAACTTACATACAAAGACACACACACAAAGATAGATAGAGAGAGAGAGAGAGAGAGAGGGGGGGAGAGCTTTTAAATAGCCAAGACTCGCAAGAAAATAACGATCGTAATTTTTCTTTTCATTTTCCTTCGACATCATTTGCATTCGTTTCTGATTAAATTATCTAAAATACGATCGCCTGAATCGAAAAATCTTTCTAACGAGGAGGAAAACGTTGTGCGATGGTAGAATGGAGAAAAGAGAAAATGAAATAGGAAGAAGAAGAAGAAAAACAGGAAAAATCAATCGCGATCTCGCTTGGATAAGTCGATGCTAGAAAAGCATCAAGTAACTGTTCTAAGAATCGAGTTCTTCGTAGGAAGAAGAGATTGGAGTAAAGAGAAAGAGAAAGAGAAAGAGAAAGAGAAAAAGAGAGAGAGAGAGAGAGAGAGAGAGAGAGAGAAATTCTCTCGAAGGCCACGGTCTTTCGCCTTCGTAGCTCGCGACTTTAGTCGAATACGATCAGCAGTCAGGACAGTCGGATTTCGCTTTAACCGAGCGTTAAATTAGTTCGACGGTCGAACGATTTCTCTCGACATTCTCACACCGACCATCTTCGTTTCCAACGACGACGTAGAGTCTGTTTCCTCGTCGATAACTTTTTGCCAGCTAAAAGTTCAACGACTCGATTACTCTCCATCTATCTCTATCTCTCTCTCTCTCTCTCTCTCTCTCTGTTTCTTTGTCCCAGTTTGTATTGAAACTTATCGTCGTTTAAGATGGACGAAACGTGTTTTGCAAAAATTTCGGTGTAAATCTGTTTTGACTGGTTCTCGAAGTAATAGCAGTTACATTGGAAATTTTTGCGAGAGATATTATA